AGGTGATTAACATGCAAGTAAAAAAAACATTTGTTGGGCCAAGCCAATTTTTTGTATAAGGCTAAATTCTTGAAGCATATAATGAAATGAGAATCTTTTTCTCTTCCTATCCTGCTCTAAAGTTTATAAAAATATGACAAAAGGAGAACCAATTATTAAATATCAACATCTTTTATAAATTTTAATATAAATCCAGGAGAGGTAGAATAAGCTTTTATTTATTTGCTTTTTAATTGTTGATGTTTAACTTTTTTCTTTAAAAAAAATACTACTATATACAATGTTGGAAATGTTGACATTTTTTTGTACTAATTTTATTTAAACTTTGGAGAACAAATTTTTTACCAAAACATTCTCCTGGGGATGGTGACAAAGGAAAAGAATTGGACAAAATTCAAAGATTGCTGGATGTAGTTTATACCCAGGGAAAGCCAGAATGTGTCAGCTGAAATATTTTGTTAAAAATGAGTGCTCACATCCAAATAAGATAGAAAATAATGTCTACATGTGGTTTCTTAAGAAATGGCATCTGTTGCAACATTGTCATTGGTGGTTTGAAATTACAAATGTGCTTAATTGATCATTGAAATTGGCTGTCAGCTACTTTCTAAATGACAAGTAAGTTGTGATAAAGACAGAAAAAAGGAAATAAGTTTAGTAAACCTCTCATTATTCACAGAATTCCTTTTAACATTTCAACACCTTTTTCCTCTTACAAATCATGCATTACTTATTTTAAAGTCTGTATTATTGGCCTGACTAAGAAAGGACTCATGAAAAAAAAATACATTTTTGGTTAGATTTGGGAATTGGATTGGATTAAGAACTTTTCAGCACTTCCTCATACATTAATATAGGCTTAAGTGAAGTAACTTATATATAGCCAGGTAACTTTAGTGAGATCATATCATGTAGTGAAATAACTTCATTTCAAATTATTCAGTAGAAAACTTTATACAATTTATACAGTTTTTTTTTGTTTTGTTTTTTTTTTGTAGGTCATTCAGAAAATGAGTCTTTAAAAAATTAGTGTAGATGTTTATGTGTGATATATAATCAAGTGTTTACTTCTATGCTGTTAACAATTGCAAAATTTAACATAGCCTTAATTTTTGTCTCTAAAATATTTGCCAAGCAAATATATGCAAGATAAAAAGGCAAAATTAGTTTCAAAAGGTAAAGGGAAAAAAACAAAGATAATTGACAAATAAGGTTCTTTTTATTTTCTTCTTTTTTTTTTTTTTAAACTTATAATTTATTTAAATCCTGACTTGTTTTTTTTTCAAAGGCATTACAGAACACTCTTTCACTAAATTCATGAATAAAAAATTTACTTTTATTTATGAAAATGAATTTGAGCAACATCTCATTTTTATTTTATTTTTTCTCACTTAACTAATGTAATCATTAACTGAACATTTTCTTAAAATATTGATCCAAAAATGAATACCAGAATAGAAAATTACATTTTTTTTTTGTTGTCTCCATAAATTATAACATGGAAGTTTCAAATCTTTACAAGTGAAGGTGTGATGCATTAAAGATTGCTAGAGTTTAACTAGAATCATATGAGAGGAAAAGAGAAGATAAATTAAGATTATGAGAAAACTAGACCTGGATGTGTGTTACTTTTGTTAATTAAGACCTATTTATCACAAATAGGTAATGGAGCTGCATTTCTCTACTCCCATTTCTTGACTGCTTTCCTCTACCACACCATCAAATCTTTGATTGCCTGAAGAAAATTTCCTTAACATTCTTGAAGATTTCAAGATGTAGAGAAATTTTTATATCCAAAGGTGAAGACCTGATATAATCATTAACAACAAAGATTGTAGAACGTTTTGGAAGTATCTACAAGCATTTTTCATACCATAAATAGCGAGATAGATGCAAGTGAAGAATACAGATATTATTATACCCAGTGGAATAAGCCCATAGCAAAAATGGATGAGTCTCATGATTGTCTGGCATTATGTTGTTTTTGTTTTGTTTTTGCTTTTTATCCACCAGTTCTGTTTTGGTAAAAACATATTTTTATTTTTGTGTGAAGCAACAGATCTTATATATATGCTAAAATGACTAATATTATAGCTGATGGACTTTCACTAAATATTTTGTGGGCTCTATAAGTGTGTGAAAATATAATGTTTTACCAAATACTTGCTTGTCTGTAGGGGGGGTTAATCTTTATCTAGGCCTTTAATACTGACATGACTAATCAAAGGACTGACCACTTAAATTCCAATCTGATGGAAAACATTTTGCATTGTATATTATAATTCAACCCAAAAAGTTGACCATAAAAGCAAGAGTGCAAAAGTAAGTCAGTCAGTCTTTACTTTACCAATAAACAGTAAAGCAGAAAATGTACAGCTTAGAGCCAACCAGTTAGATAGCTGTGTTGGAATGAAGTGTTCAGCTTGAAGATAAATTTGTGTTTAATAACTTCAAAGCTTTTAAACACTTATCATTTAATAACTTTACTAAGAATAGGGTATAATATGGTTTAGTTTGGCATTTTTAAACTAGTATTATTTCAGTGGGATTTATTGTAAACATAATTCATGGGAAAGTTAGAATAAATCTATTTGTTTTACTAGTTAAAGATTGAAAAAAATGTACTGATTATGGTTGTATGAAAAAACCTTGAATGTTTAACACTTTTTTTATTGCACAGTTATTAAAAGCTACAGAATTATTGCACATTTTTGTTAAAGAACATAACAGAATATATAAAAACTTATGTACATATTCAAACTTATGTATATATATTTAACAGTGGCCACTCATTCTGAATGCAGCACAAGACCTTTCTTATATAATCTATAGTATAAAAGACAATGTAACTATATATATTTTTTATTTGCACAACTTGATCCCCCCCCCTTTCTTAGTAATGAGATTTTTTTCCATTATTAACAGGAGGCATTATTCAATTCCCATAAGCAAATATCTTGTGTTAACACAACAATAGAATTGCTCTTTAGCAAGCAGGGGCAATCAGGTTGCTACTAAATTGTTTTTATTTTGTTTGCTTTATGTTAGCTATTTTATAGATATATTTTATTTTAATTATTTAATAATAATTCTTTCTTGCATGTAAAACTAACATTAATTTATTAATTGCAAAAATGCTTAAATAAGACCATCTCTTTTTTTTTCCTTTTATTTAATGTTATGGAGATAAATTGGTTTATTATGCCTTAAGGCAAATATAATATAGATATTAACTAATCTTACTCTAAATACATGTAAAAAGAAAAGTTAGATTACACTTTCAAGTCATTAAAAATTAGTATTTGGAATAAATATGATAAAAAATAAATATTAAATAACCCCTCCTCTTGCGCGATAAATATATTTGCTTTGCATAATTTTAGGTGTTAAATCTTTTACATGTCAGTCTGCAAAACTGGGGTTCAATTATATCTTATGGCATTCTCTTTTAAATAAATTTGTATATAATTTGATTCAGAAAATATTAATTTGTATTTCATTATTGTTGTTACTTGTATCTTTTTTGTTTTTTAACCTTTCTCATTCTTCTTGCAGACATAATATAAATTTGAGTTATTTTATTAATTCTGTAAATTTATTCTAATTCATTCAGTTCTGTTAGTAAGAAATTTGCTGGATTTTATTTTATACAGGATTTATAAAAAATAGGTTTTAGTTTACAAAATCCTATTGTGACAAAGCTGCAAAAATTATGCACACAAAAATAAAAATTCTTCTATACATACCAAAATGAATGCCTATAAATAACAATCTATATAAAAATGCTTTTTTCTTTTTATTGATAAAGATATATCATTTTTGAATTTGATACAAATTCTCATTCACAATATAATTAATTTTTCTTAATGTTTATATCAGAACATTAATTTTTTTTCATTTTGTAAAATTGTTTAAAACAAGTGATTAAATTTCAAATTTGAAATATAAAGAAATTTAAACTTTTTATATACTTTTCCTTGTTTTATTTCTTTTTGCATCCCTAATCTCTCAGTAAATTGAATGTAATTGATTTTTTACAATAGATTTTAAATTTCAATTTTTATAAAGTCATTGTGCCATATAAACAAATGTATCATCAGGACTTTTAATATATGATCAAAAACAATGAGCAACAAGTTGGGCCATACATCAGTCAGTTAAGTGCCATATGTGATACACACTTAGGCAGTTATGTCTGTTTTGATTCATGACTGACTGGGCAGAAGATTTTCCTGCAGTAAGCTGCCATTTCATTCTACAGTAAACTGGTTGCCACCAAAGACTGTAGGACCCAGTCTGTCCTGCTATTGAACCCATATCTGTGGGAAGTAGTGATGGATTCATGTGTTTCCAAAGGCTATTTGCATGTAAGTGAATATAATGAATCCAACTGGAATTCAAACTCAGCTCTACGATTTCTCATTCTGAACTGTTATCCATTACACCAACTTGCACATCTGGCCATGCATACAAGTGCATGAAACGTTTATTTGGCTCATCATTTATTTTACAGAAATAAATAATTTCAAGATACCATTAAATGTTATTAATTAAAAAAAGAAAAATAGTTCAGGTAATTGAAATTATTTTTGATGCAATAATAAATCTGATAGTCTATCCAACAAAGCAGAGATTTTTGTTTCTGAAGTTTTAAGGATTTCATAGCAATTCCAGAATATTGTCTCTTGTCTGTCAATCAATCTGGAATTTCTGGATTTGGAAATCTTTGAACTGATTTGCAATGAATCATTCTAACTTTCCATTGCCCTAAAATCTTCATCCAACAATTTAGATCCCCCCCCCCACGCCAAACCCGTAATCCAGGCATGTGTCCTTGCCATTCACCAAATACCATTCCAATGAGGTGATTACTTCTGCTAACGTAACCTCACATCCCATATTTTTATTCCTCCCTTATTTTTCTCACACTTCATTCTTTCTCAGTCTATCAATTTGCTTTCTCTTGCAATTTCTTTAACTTGTTTATAATTGTTTCATCAATGTCTATTTCATATTTTCAATCAGTATCATCTCTCTCTCTCTCATCTTGTTACTTTCCCATCTCTATCTGTTCATTCTCTATTGCTAATCTTTTGCTCTCTATTCCTTCTGCCTTTCTCTCTCCACTATCTGTATCAGTTCATTTCTGTCTTCCTCCTTCATTTGTCACTCTGTTTCTGTTTAGTTTGTCTTGGTCCCTCCTCTGTGTGTGTGTGTGTCTCTCTCTCTCAATCTCTCTCTCTGTTGCTTCTCGCTTACACAGTCCTATCTCTCTTTACTCAACCTCTTCTATTTTACCTGGATGTGTGGGTGATGTAATGGATAGCCAGTGGGAATGAGAAATCTGAAAGCCAGTGCAAAACCCCATGGAAAAGGTATGAATCCACTACACCCTAACTATGGGTTAAATAGTAAATAGTATCTGGAAAAATCACTGTTATGCTCAAAAAATTAAATATTTACTCACAAAAACAAAGAATTATTACAATCATGTTTCAGCTTTAAATAACCCAAATAGGTTGATAAACTGTAACAAATATATTAATCTGTCATTTGACAATGCCCTCCCTCCCTCTCTCTCACTCTCTCTCTAGCTCCTTGCCCTTTCTCTCTCTAGCTCCTTACCCTTTCTCTCTCTAGCTCCTTGCCCTTTCTCTCTCTAGCTCCTTGCCCTTTCTCTCTCTAGCTCCTTGCCCTTTCTCTCTCTAGCTCCTTGCCCTTTCTCTCTCTAGCTCCTTGCCCTCTCTCTCTCTCTCTAGCTCCTTGCCCTTTCTCTCTCTCTCTAGCTCCTTGCCCTTTCTCTCTCTCTCTCTCTCTCTCTAGCTCCTTGCCCTTTCTCTCTCTCTCTCTCTCTCTCTCCCTAGCTCCTTGCCCCTTTCTCTCTCTCTAGCTCCTTTCTCTCTCTCTCAGCCCCTTGCTCTCTCTCTCCTTCAATCCCTTTTCTTCTTTCTCTCTCTCTCTCAATCCCTGGTTCTTCTTTTCTCTCTCTCTCTCTCAATCCCTGGTTCTTCTTTTCTCTCTCTCTCTCAATCCCTGGTTCTTCTTTTCTCTCTCTCTCTCAATCCCTGGTTCTTCTTTTCTCTCTCTCTCTCAATCCCTGGTTCTTCTTTTCTCTCTCTCTCTCAATCCCTTCTTCTTTCTCTCTCTCTCTCAATCCCTGGTTCTTCTTTTCTCTCTCTCTCTCAATCCCTGGTTCTTCTTTTCTCTCTCTCTCTCAATCCCTGGTTCTTCTTTTCTCTCTCTCTCTCTCAATCCCTGGTTCTTCTTTTCTCTCTCTCTCTCAATCCCTGGTTCTTCTTTTCTCTCTCTCTCTCTCAATCCCTGGTTCTTCTTTTCTCTCTCTCTCAATCCCTGGTTCTTCTTTTCTCTCTCTCTCTCTCAATCCCTGGTTCTTCTTTTCTCTCTCTCTCCCAATCCCTCTTCTTTTTTCTCTCTCTCTCAATCCCTGGTTCTTCTTTTCTCTCTCTCTCTCTCAATCCCTGGTTCTTCTTTTCTCTCTCTCTCTCTCAATCCCTGGTTCTTCTTTTCTCTCTCTCTCTCAATCCCTCTTCTTTTCTCTCAATCCCTGGTTCTTCTTTTCTCTCTCTCTCAATCCCTGGTTCTTCTTTTCTCTCTCTCTCTCAATCCCTGGTTCTTCTTTTCTCTCTCTCTCTCTCAATCCCTGGTTCTTCTTTTCTCTCTCTCTCTCTCAATCCCTGGTTCTTCTTTTCTCTTCTCTCTCTCTCCCTCTTCAATTCCTCTCTCTTCCCTTTCTTTTTTCTCTCTCTCTCTCAATCCCTGGTTCTTCTTTTCTCTCTCTCTCTCAATCCCTGGTTCTTCTTTTCTCTCTCTCTCTCTCTCTCTCTCTCAATCCCTGGTTCTTCTTTTCTCTCTCTCTCTCTCTCTCTCTCTCTCAATCCCTGGTTCTTCTTTTCTCTCTCTCTCCTGCTTCCCATCTCTTTTGCTTGTCCTTTTTTCTTTTAGTTGTCTCCAATTCTCCTTATTCCTTCTTATCAACATCTTTTTTTTCCCCTCTCTCTAACCTATACATCTCTCTCTTTTTTGTTATTTCATTTTCATTACTTTTCTTGATGTCACTTATTCATTGTTGGGCAACTTGAAATCTTTTAATGTTTGTTCAGTTCTGTTTCTAACTGAAATTATTTATGTTTGTGAAAAAATATGTGAATTCATTTTATTGGTTTATCTTTTAAAAGGCTTTTTGTTTTTTGTGATTTTCTTTTTTCATTCAAACTTATTGTTTAAATACTTAAATACTCAATTCTCTGTATTTTGTAGAAAGATAAGTGATATCTTAGATTCTTTGTAGTTAGTGTTTTAAAGACAAGGAAGAATTTTTGATTTTTTTTTTTTTAATCAAACTTTTCTTTAATCAAACTTTTCTTTAAAACTGCTATCCCACTTTCATTAAGAATGTTAACTTAGAAATCAGAAATGGAGAATTATGTAAAGGTAAAAAAGGGGCTAAATTTGAAATGCCATCATTTGACTCGAAGATTTGGTAAGGATTTAAGACTGAAATGTAACTTTAATCTAATTTTGTTCTCTATTTGTATATTTACAATAACTTATGAAACCATTGCTTGAATGAAAACAAAAATAGATTTGTTTCATAATTTGCATGAATGCGTCAGGAAATTCATTTTGATTTTATAATGATTAATCTTATACTTGGATCAAAGAACATATACCAAATTCAATGATAAGTCTTCAAAACTATGACAGACAAAATAGTAATAATATGCCAAATGCAATGATGAAAGGTTTTGTTTATTGATATTTTATAAATTAAAATTTTTATAGTAACCCCAATTAATGACTTTTCAAAATATTGGCCATTCTGTGGGTTCATCACTGTAAAAGGGTTCTTGTTAATCATTTAACTCCTGAGAAAATTTTTTTTCTTTTTTTTCCTCTCTCTCACCTTTTGCTATAGGTTTATCGGTGCAAAGACCTTCAAGCCTGGTCAAATCTCCTGATGACATCACAGGTAAACTGTTTGTGTGCAGAATAACAGCAGCTATTTTTTTTTTTTTTTTTTTTTTTTTTTTTTTTTTTTTTTTATCTATCTATACATTTTTTTTCTTTAGATAAAAAAAATTACTACAACAAAAACAAATGCTTCCTCAGTGATGTCAGTCTAGTTTGTCAGTGTCATTGATAGCTTTCACTCTACAACAGGAACCTCTGCTTTTGCTGTGTCTTGTGTGTTTTTTTTTTTTTATTTTTTTTTTTTTTTTTTTTTTTTTTTGTGGCTTAAAATATTTGAATTACAACCTATTGGGCAGGTTAATTGCTTAGCCTATTTGTATTTTTGTCTGTTTTTAATGTGTTGTTTGTATTGTTTGCTGCTTTTTAATGTTTCTATTTTTAAAAAAAAATGATCAAGTTACAGTGTTGGGGTTATTTGAAGAATTATTCAGTCTTGTTTGCTCAATACTCAAATGTGTTGTATTTGAGATTATCGTTTAGAATCTCTTTATTCATGTTTTCTGCTAGCATGTGGGAAGTGAAAAAGACAACCAAATTGCCTCAACAAAGTGAAGCATTTACTAGATTTACTTTCAAATATTAATGGATTGCAATTCAAAATTATGGATATATCTTGCTGCAGATATATTTTGGAATATAAAATGTCTTAGGGGATAGTACTTCATAAAATATCCTATGTTTAGTAATGTTATAAAGCAGCTATATGTAAATCAAATAGATTGAATTCAATGTTCGAATTGCTTCAAGTGTAACATCACTATTTTATCTGTTGTTTTCATATTTGGGACATTGTTTATAGGATAACCTGATAAGTTTGATTTACCTTAATTTTTGAAGTTTCTTAATGGAATAAACCTGATCAATGGCAGTGAATTGATGTCCCAACTATATACACACACACACACACACACACACAATGTAGTTTTTTACTATTAAATTATAACTACTGTCATTAGAATTTTCACACAAACTTTTCAAGCATCACTTGCTATTGGTGATTCTGCACTTTTCAGCTTATTTTTGTCTTCCATTACAATTTTGAATTCATTCAGTACTTTGCTTTCAATATTTTTTTTTCTTTTTTTTTATGTAAGCTTTAAAGGGAGGCAATCGATACCTTACTGATGGGCTAATGTAACTAAGTCATACAATTAGTCCCTTTAAAACTTATGCATGAGCCATAGCAATTAAAAAAAACAAAAAACTATTCTTTTGAAATTAAGGCATGTAAAAGTAGTTTCTGCTTGAGAATATCAGATGTCTTATGTATAAATGATTTAAAAATGTTTTTTTAAATAATAATGATCATTGTACAAAATTATAGAAATTTAAAGATAGACTTGGCAAAAATATAAAAAAAAACATGATTATAATATGTCCAAACAAATCAGATAATTTCTTTTGTCATATACAGAGTGCATCAGAAATACTTCCCACATAATTGTAAGACATCAGTTAGATGAAGACACCATTGCTACTAATGTCTTTCCATTATGTGGGAGGTATTTCTGCAGCATCCTGTATTTGTTATAGTTTTGCGCATAATATTTAGCTTACTGATTTCAATTAAGAAAATTTTTTGGCATATTTGTGCAGTGCATATATTTCCTTGTTAATTTTAGAGGAAAATCTTTTATTTTGTAATGTGTTAATAAAATGTCTTGTTTCTTTGAATCTTAATGAAGAAATGGTTCAAAATAGAAAAGATATTTCTTTGAAACAAGATTTGCTAGTTTAATCTTTGAACTGCCAGTTTTTTGTTTTTTCTCTCTTTTATTTTAATCCTAATTTTCTATTCACTTTGAAGTGAAATTCAATGCTCAGCACTTCACTTTGATAATGGGGGGATATAAACAGTCCAAGGGTGAAATTTTTGTAATTCAATATGTTTCTGATCCATTTTCACTGTCTAACAATGAAAAAAATACTTGAATATGTGGAGATTTTTTTTTTTTGTCAAAAAGGAAAGAGATTATTTTAAAGATAATTATAAAGGAACTCATTTCACCACTAAGCCAGGCATTTTCAGCTTGTAAAAATTTAAAATTTTTCTCATTACTGTAGCCTCAACCTTTGTTGATACTTTAACTTAAAAATGCAGACAAAACATTTTTAAGCAATTCTTGTGACAATCTGATTTAATTTCATTTCACCTTGCCTTCCAATGAATAAAGGAAGTTCTTTTCATGGTGTTAAATAATCTCATTAAAATTCCATTGATTTTCAATTTAATATTTTTTTTCTTTATTATGCAACTTTCAATGAAATATTGGGTTGACCTAACTTTATCAGCAGTGATCCAGCACAAATCACTAATCCAGCGTCTCACAGGTTTTGTTGATAATAGATTAGTGACGGACATGTCTTTATTGTTATTTATCTTGACTGTGGTTTTGTAACTAGTAAAGCATATGGGAAAAGAGAACATAAATAGCCCGTTTTCATAATAACTAAAAATTATGATTGTATCTATTATTAGTTCTGCCAGAGGCCAAGGATTCTATTAACTCTGTGTGTGTGCATGGCTGTTGGTGCAAAAGCCTTATCCTATTAAGAATGGAAAAATGAAAAATATTAACAGAAATAAAATAGTTTTTATGTTGGCTGGTTTTCTTTTGTCTTGTCTGCATTTGTGCATGATTTTTTTTTTTTTGTGGGAGTATGTGCGTGTGTTTGATTGATTGGTTTGTTTTTGAGTAAAAAAAAAAAAAAAAAAAAAAGATTTTTCTTTTCTAAACCAAAAGTGCACTGTAGGTCTTTAAGCAGTTACATTGCTTTGTCTGTCCATATCCCAACTTTAATTATATCATTATCTTTGTTATAAATTGCTAAAGAAGCAGGATTTTGTTAAGATAAAATAATGGGTTGATTTTATATAAAAATAAGTAAAGCAAAACC